CCAATCTACACCATGTTGTTGTCTTTGCTAGTTAAAATCCTTTAAAGATCATACCCGATGTAACAGAAACATAAGATTTTGACAAACACCAAAATGAAGCATTGCAGTTTACAACTTCTAGCTTCGAGTGTGATATTTTTGTCATACGCATTACAGGCATTGGGCTGTTGAAGTGAATGAATCTGGCTTTCATGTAGCTAAACAAAATGTTGCTTTTTATAAAATGAAACCATTGTAATTTGGGGTTCTAAATTCCTGCTCACTTTTAATAACAGCATCACAGTATCCACTTCTATGAGAGTATTTAATACAAATGCCTGTGGTTTTCAATGTTACTAACATATTGTAACATCAGTAAAGTGACTTCCAATGACAGACTCTTGTGTGTGTTTTGTTCTCCTAAGTCCTTATATTTAGCAATTCCTGTTTTATAGGTCTCTGTAAAAAAAAGATGCTGCATGCATGGCAAAAAAAAAAAAAGGCTAATGGCCAGTAATAGAATATAAATGCTGTTTTTAATAGAATACAGATGTTATTTTTGCATCTGGGTTGCATCAAAAAGGGCATCACCAGCAGAGATAAAGAAGTCATAATCCCACTCTACTCGGCGCTTGTCAGGCCACACCTGGAATACTGTGTACAGTTCTGGTCCCCGTTACACAAAAAAGACGTGGACAGGCTGGAGGGGGTCCAGAGAAGGGCCACCAAGATGCTCAAGGGTCTGGGAAGCCTGCCATACGAGGATAGGCTGCGAGAGCTGGGTTTGGTCAGCCTTGAGAAAAGGAGGCTTAGAGGCGATCTCATCACCATGTACCGGTACTTAAAGGGGAGCTACAGAGAAGATGGAGACTCCCTTTTTACAAGGAGTCACATGGTGAGGACAAGGGGTAACGGGTACAAGTTCCTCCCAGGGAGATTCCGATTGGACACGAGAGGTAAATTTTTCACAATGAGAACAGTCAACCATTGGAATAATCTCCCCAGGGAAGTGGTTGACTCCACTACGCTGGACATGTTTAAGACCCAGCTGGACATGGTGCTGGGCCATCTCGTCTAGATTGTGCTAGAAAGGTTGGCCAGATGATCCTTGAGGTCCCTTCCAACCTGGTATTCTATGATTCTATGATTATTTTTCAAATTTCAGGGTTGAAAATGATCCTGTGAGCTTCCCAGGCTTTTGTCATAGGGTCCTACTGTTCTCAAGGCAAATCTAAAATTACTGTTCCTTAGGTTTGCATGTCTGAGGGCAACCTAAAAAAATTATCTACGTTTTCTAAACTATGCCCAATTGTTCGCACAAAGGTGAAGAGCAATCACCCCACTTAGTATCACATAAGCATCCTTCCCATATGTGTTTTGGGAAAGAGAAACCCTTAATTCCAAATTACAGGTAACTGTTTCTCTAAAGCAGGTAACTTGCATGTTCAAATTGTCCACTGACTCTGCTCTTAATGGGGAAGCAATTTTCACGTAGGTTTCACGTGGCTTTTTTTTTAGCTAGATGACAGCAAATTCTGTAGTTGCTCCTTAGCAACCATATTTATTAGTTTATGTCTAAACATGGAAGATCATTTATCCTGTCAGTCCCTGTGAATACCATGGATTTTTGAGATGCTTATAGAGAAGAAAAAGCAATTCTTTCTTGGGTAAGCTAGAATTTGTTCCTTGTTTTGGAGCAATTTGTTTTCCCGTTTTCTCTGTTTTGTGTTTACAAGATCCCTGAAGAAAACCCTGTTGGTTCACCCTGCTGTTCTTGCAGCATTTTACTGCCCAGTAGCTGGCTGGTGCCCAAACAGTAATTCAGCCTGCGGAAATAAAGTGAGAAAGACAGTGTGTTTGTTATGGGTCCTCTTCTTTCATTGCTCCAGACACCCACTATGCCCGATTAAAAAAAAAAGTACCTCCCCCCCACCCCCCCCAACCCAAGCATCCAAAATAAGCTAAAAAAATCTTTATAGCC